AGCTATGGAGCCTTCCTTCCTTCAAATACAATCCCACAGTATATTTTCTGTTGTCTCAACTGTGTTTGAGGTAAGGGGAGATTATTTGCAGTTCTGGTCTAATTTCTTTCTAGGGGCTCAAGTGTTGAGTCACTTTGACCCAATCTTTACCTACTTTCAAAGATTCAGATCTACTGCTGTGTGCTTCTGTGGAAGCTGGGGATGTCCTGAGGCCATATGCAGGTACTGATTCTTCCCCATGTGTGGTCTTCTGGCAGGGGTGGGGCAGCACACAAGGACTCAGTGCCCACCTCTGAAATAAAAAAGGGTTGTTTAGATTCCTTGAGTACTTGGTAATAGTTTAGGTAGCCTTCAATTAATTTACCAGATTTTTTTCCCTGATAGGGCCAGAGGATTGGCCAAGTGGATAAGAGTACTAGCTGCTCTTGTATGGGACTCAAGTTCAGTTTTCAGCACCTACTTGGTCACTCACATCCATCTGTAACTTCAGTTTCAAAGGATCTGACACTGTCTCTTGACCTCCATGGATGGCAGACACACACATAGTGCATATACATGCATGCAAGCAAAACACTCATACACAACAAATAAAGTAAAAAGATCTAAAAATAAAGAAAAACTATGATAGCTTTAAATCCAAGCAAATGGTAATTATTCTAATATTCATAAGTCATCTAAATATTAAGTGGTAAAAATAGCAGCCTTATAAGTACTTCTTACTTCAAACCTAAGTTAAGTTGGCTGCTCTACATTTGGGGAAGGTTGAGACAGGGTCTTGCTATGTAGCTCTGGTTGTCCTACAGCTCACTATGTAGACAAGGCTAGCCTTGAACTCATAGAGATCCCCCTGCCTCTGCCTCACAATTGCTGGGATTAAAGGCGTGTGCCATAACACCTGGCTGCTGCTATATATTTTATCTATCTGTTGTGGTCTGCTCCCACAAACATTTCTGTTAATACAGCAGGGCCATTCTAACACAACTTTGAAGAGGTGACACCGCATTCCTGGGGAAATGAGGCTAAATGAATGATGACAGGACATTTCTTTACTGGGGAAAGGTCAGAAGCCTCCTTTTGCTCTTAATCGGGTTTACCCACAGATCAAGGAAAGCACATCCAAGACAAGGAGATGTCAGGCATTTCATCCCTTGGAAATACAGCTACTCTGTCTCTTGCTTATGTATGAGGTTGTAAGCTATGACAGTCAGTGTCACTACACAGATTTATAAGGACAGCTCTGAGGAGACAGATTCTGCTGAAGCATTTATTCCACTACAAGTCAATGTGGACAGGTAGCTCAGTAAGAATGGTATCTAAGAGTGATACAGATATACACAGATTTCTACAAAACAATGTAAAAGATGGAACTTATTTTGCACACAGTTTAAGAGAAAGATAAAATACAGAACATAGAGTGCTATTTATACAATTACAAGCTAATATGGTGGCTTATACTTGTAATACTAGTGAAATTGAGGCAGGAAGATTGCTGTGAATTCCAGGCTAGAATGGGCAACAGTGAGACCCTGTCTCAAAATAATAACAAGACCACCACCAACAAAATAACAACAACAAACCCCACTAAAGCCATACCCCTTGGTACCAACTAAACATCTACATCTGTCAAGAATTATTAAGATGAGAGTACTTCAGTTCCCTGACAGGGTGGCTTGACTCTGTCCAGGCCTGGTGTGAGAATAGTTAGCAAACATGTGGATAATTTCCACGTGGGAAGTAGGAGAGAGGCTGCAGCAGAATTGTAGTTTCAGGAAAGTGGTGCATCTTAGATACCAAGATGATGGTGAGGGTTAGGGACCCAATGGAAAGAATACAGTGAACATCCATTCATAGGTCTTTAACATGTAACAAGCAAGGGTCAACAAAGAAAAGGAAAGGCTTAGTGAGGGAGTTTCCAGTGAGAGTCCCTATTCATTTTCCTTCACTTTGCAAATAGCTTTCAGGAGGTGGGGGAGCTTGAGCTCACAGGGGCACACTGTAGAACACTTGACAGGAGAGGGGAATGAGAATGTACTGGTAGGAAACTTATGCCTATGCACTGTCTAATTTGGTTCTAGAGTTGTTCCAGGTTGAAAGCAAGGCAACCTTCACCATAATTGGATCTTACAAATGGAATTCTTAGAATCTACTTCTTTGTAAACCTTGGTTTCCTTATATATTATTATTTTTATGGAGAGAAAATATTTTAGTCATAGAGTTTATTAGTATCTCTGATAATAATAACTTTGAGTGTTACACATGCACAAGTCATATTGTGATAAATTTTTCACTCATTCTGATTTCAGCTTCTCTTGAGTCCCACACTACCCAATGGCATCATTCTACTTGGTTTCAGAAGAGATCTTGAGTAATAGGTGGCAGGGCCTTCCATGTTCTGAGATGAGGTGTGGACCACCACATGGAGGAAATTGGGTTGTTATACCAGGTAACTGAGGGTGTGTGTGGATAGTGACTATTCACTTGTATTCCTTATGAGGCATAGGTAAGGAAGCCAGCTTGCTGGTCATCTGACATGCTGCCTTGGAGAACAAATGGGAGATTGTGTATGTATAAATATTATATGATTAATATATAATATATATGTATCTAGTAACTCTGATATAGCAGGAGCCTGATGGATTTCATGGTGTTAGGAGATATTAACAGCCAGATAGAGAGACACTTTGATATTGTCCCCATTGAAGAGACTGCAAGATGCTCATTGGAGGGTCAGTTTCACTTATACCTCATGCCCAGGAACTGCTCAGTAGATTGACAATGTCAAAGGGAAGTTTTTCTGTTCCACTTCTCTCCATCTGCTACCCTTGGACATTGGGACAGCTAAAGCCAGGCTTAGCAAGTAGTGAGGAGGTAGATGGAACCAGAATATATTCAGGAAAAACAAAACAAAACAAAAAAACATTTCAGATGGGTCTCCTTGCTTTTTTGTTTGTTTGTAGATTTGTTTTCTTTTGTGTGTTTGTGTGTGAGGGTTACTCATGAATTCCTGGCCAAGTTCCAGTTCCTGGCTATAGGTTTTTGTTTGTTTTGCTTGAGTGTGTGTGTGTGTGTGTGTGTGTGTGTGTGTGTGTGTGTAATTATGCTGCTGTATCCATCTCTTCACCAGGCATTTTGAAAGGACTAAGGTAGCTTCTGCAGAGGGAACATGATTCAACTCTAAAATGAAATAAAAATATTTTGACTTTGTTATAGAATCAAACATTTTAATAAGGTATGTAGATACATCTAGGACTAACAATGACCGACAAACTTTAAATGCCCTCCCCTGTCTCCCTGTGTAGCTGGTGCCCACCCGCAGTTTCACTCAAGGGTTTTGAAGAAACCTTGAGGCCCCAGAACAGGTCTCAGGAGCCCTGGAAGGGAGGGATTTTTGATTACATCTAATGAGTCTCATCTGTTGTATTGGTTTTATTTTTATGAAAAAAAAATGTCCTGTGCTTGTACCAAATGCTAGAATAGTAGCTTTGGCTTGGCACAACGAGCCTCAGTAGATAGAAGATTGAGAGGTTCTGGAAGGTGTGGACAGGGGGAGATAAAGACAAACATATTACCAATTATTCCAGGTGGTCTTTCCATCATAGCTGTCTCCTTTAACTGCGATGGGAAGCTCTCAGATGAGTGCTGTTGTTCAGCTGTTGGATGTGGAACGAGATACAGATGATTAGACAAGTGTGAGTATACACCACAACATTGAGGGGGAGAGCTGTGTTTGCTTCCTTTCCTGCCCATTCTTTACTGACCACATGCCTTAGTGTCTGCTAACCCCTGTTGTGACTGAGGAGGAGTATGACTTGACCATTATGTTGAGGTAAGAGAGGAGTCAGCCAAACTCATCGGCACATGCAATCTTTATTTGCTTCCTAGGCACCCATAAAGTTGCCTTTAAGATGTCTGGAAGAGACTTCTGCCAAGCATTTATTTTTAACTTTTCATTTAATATTTTATATTGTTGAAAACAGGACTTAAGAACTCCCTTATGTCAGGCAAGTGTTCTATCAGTAAACTATATCTTAGCCTATGGCTTTCATTTGTAGAGACTTGGGGCAATTAATCTTTTGAATATGTGAAAAGTATAAGATAGCTGTAAAAAGCAGCTCAGACATTAGCCCCTCTCAGAAAGTATCTAGAAAATAAATTCATGTTCATGTTGTATGTGCTTTAAGAGTTTGGGAGCATAAAGAAAATGACTTCAGTACCAAAGCCTGTTGGAAATACAAGACTACTGTTCATCTTGGAATTGTTTTGTCTCTTTTCACTATGTACCAGAACTTCTAAAGAGGAAGAAAAGTTTGAGAATGGGAAATTGTCAGCTTTTTGTTTTTGGCACTGTAACAGTATTTTTATGGTTAAGCAGCATCATAGTCTGATCTACTCATTCATGACCTTTTTCCTAACAGGGACAATTGCCCCTGTCTCGAAGGTGACTTCTTGTTTGACTCCATGGCTGTAGAAGCAAAGAAAAAGAAAAAAAAAGCCCAGTGAGTCCCCAAGGTGGTCTGCTCCTGCCTTTGTGCCAGGACATGTAAATGACCCAGGCCAATCACTAACCTGTTTTTAAAAGCCCTCCAATCAGAAGGAGCCCAGGCTGCCTTCTAAGTGCTGTTGCTGGGTGCAGTTGAACACCGAAAGTGCCTTCCTGTCTCCCACACTCTAATCTCACACTTCCATTTTCCTCCTCATTTCCAGTGACCCCCTTCTTAGGTTTGTGTCTGCTTCCTGGTCCATTCTTTTCAGAATTGGTGGAAGACAGCTGTTAGTCTGCAAACAGCCCAGATATAAGGTAAGATGCAGGCCCTGGTCCTCTGGTATCTGGTCCCCACCTCCATAGGGTCAGGCAGGGGTCAGCAGAACTCATTTTAGGGGCCTTTATTTGGCAGAGGAGTCTCCACCAGCCTCTGCAAACTCTTCAGATCGCTTCATCTTCCCAAGGCTGACACGCCTGTGTTGGTTAGCTAGTGGGACACTAGAGGGCTCCCAGGGGTTGAAAGAGGCAGAAAGTTGTTTGAATGAAAACTGACTCCGAACTGTGTTTTGAGAATTCAAAATTAAATTTTATTTTTTTAGTCATCTTTCAAAAAGAGCCTCACGTGCCTGAAAACTGTGCCACAGCTGGTTTACAAATCATTTTGCTTTGCTGTCAGGAGGCAGCAGCTTTGAGAGTTGAGCTGAGATGTCTGAAAGGTGGAACTCTTTTGACCATGAAATATGTTCTCTTTACATGCCGCAGTCTCTCCAAGTTCTGTGCATTAGGGTCAGGGATTCCATTCGTCCTGGAGCTGAGCGAGCAGCCAGCAGGGTAAGTAAACTGGTCTTTTTCTTTTTAAACCAGTTTCTTCCTCTATTTTAAAAAGTGGAGAAAAAAATGTGGAGATTCTTTTCTTTCATTCTGCTCTCTTTAGTGGAAAGAAAAAAAATAAAAAGTAATTACATTTGTGGTGTGTGTGTGTGTGTGTGTGTGTGTGTGTGTGTGTGTGAGAGAGAGAGAGAGAGAGAGAGAGAGAGAGAGAGAGAGAATAAATGTTCCTTTTTTCCAAGCTACACAGACAGTAAAGACAGTTAAATACCAGTGTAAGGTATTAGAATGTACTGTGGAGACAATCCCGAGCATTTCTGTTAAAGAGAAAATGTTTAAATGTGAACTCATTACTTGTTTTTGCCAAAGTAGTTAGTACATATCGCATAAAAATTAGGGTGCTTCTAAAAATTTAAATGTGCTTATTACTTGTCTTGAGTTACTTCCGAATCACACAAAGAGGGTGTGTAGGGAAGCCCGGCTGATGACGTTTTACCACGTTGCTTCACAGTCAGGTGTAGTGTGGCTTTAACTATAAGCCACCATGTGCTCTTTGCAGTTTGTTTTCATTACTTTAGAGTGAAATCAGACTCTCACACCTGTCTTGTTTCCATGTTTTACACTTTGACCCCAAACTTGGTAGTGTTTATGGAAGGAAAGGGTTACTCTCCTCTTTGCTCTTGCAGAGGAACCAAAATGGGTTGAGATGGTGACTCAGTCAACTTCGTTTCCACTCATCCCCAGAGTCAGCCTTCCTTTCTCCTGAGGCAGGCTGATAGGAGTTTAAAAGGCTTGTGGTGGCCCTGCCCTGAGCGTTCCCAGCGCCAGCAGCGACCCCTCTCTTTCACCTCTGCCTATTGGAGACCACTTAGATATCGAAGCGGACTGGACGGCTGGATTCAGGAAGCCATGAATCATGTCACCAGAAACAAGCGGCAGACTTTAAACTCCATTCAGCATGTGGAAGCAGCAGAGAAATGACCTGTCCAGACAAGCCGGGGCAGCTCATAAACTGGTTTGTCTGCTCCCTGTGCATCCCTCGAGTGTGTAAACTCTGGAGCAGCCGGCGTCCCAGGACCAGAAGGAACCTGCTGCTGGGCACTGCCTGTGCCATCTACCTGGGCTTCCTGGTGAGCCAGGTTGGCAGGGCCTCTTTCCAGCATGGGCAGACCACTGAAAGGGGGGCACCCCACAGCCGCGACATCTCCAAGGTACTCTTTCCGGAGATCCCCCTGGATGGTACCCTGGCCCCTCCAGAGTCGCAGGATAATGGCAGCACACTGCAACCCAACGTGGTGTACATTACCCTACGCTCCAAGCGGATCAAGCCTGCCAATATCCGTGGCACGGTGAAACCCAAGCGCAGGAAGAAGTATGCAGTGGTATCTGTGGCCCCTCGTCAGGAGGCGCTGGTTAAGCCATCTTTTATACTGCAGGAAGTCGCGCAGGCAGCAGATGCTGAAGTACCTGGCTATGCTCAGGGTTATCTGACTAAGGTTGGGGAACGACCCTGGAGGGTGCTGCGTGGTCCTGGAATCAGAAGTGGTGTTTCAAACTTGCGGCAGCCTAGGGCTCGAGAGAGCAACATACGGATTTACAGTGAGAGCGCCCCCTCATGGCTGAGCAAAGAAGACATTCGCAGAATGCGCCTGCTGGCTGATGGTGAGGTGGCTAGCATCCTGCCAGCAGTCTCTAAGAGTGGTGCCCACTTGCTGGTGTTGGAAGGGAGCACTTCAGGCTCCGTGCCTGGGTGTGGGCCTAGTCCCTGTGGGTTACTCAAGCAGCCTCTGGACATGAGTGAAGTGTTTGCCTTCCACCTGGACAGGATTCTGGGTCTCAATAGGACCCTGCCATCCGTGAGCAGGAAATCAGAGTTCATCCAAGGTAACAGATTCACTTGCTTCTTATGTGCAGCTGTTGGGAATTTGGGATCATTTTCTCTTTTCCCTCATCCTCTCGAAATGATTTTTCTCCACCCACGTTTCCCATTTGGACAGCAGCAGCAGTGCCGTTTTTCCATACTCCGTGGCATTCTTTCTCCCAGTCTGGTGATGCTAGAGTTCCAGCACATGGCTTTACTGAGCATGTGAGAGTAAGCCCACACTGTGCAGTCTTTGCTCTCCATTTCCCTTGCTGCCCTTTTTCATGGCATATTAAATCTAATTAAAGCCAATGACAGTTTGCATGATGACAAGAAGCCAGGGTAGAATTTGCCAACAGCCCATATATTATTACAGGTTTCTATGGAAACTTCCTTACAATGATGCTTTAAAGAGTAAGAGAGGGTTAGAGAGATGGCTCAGTGGTTAAGAGCACTCAATGCTCTTGCAAAGGACCAGAGGTGGAGGAGTTTTGTTCTCAACACACATGTGGCAGCTCTCAACCACCTGTAACTCTAGTTCAAGGGTATCCAACACTGTCTTCTGACCTCTGCAGGTACCAGACATGCATGTCCGGTACACATGAAGACAAACACTTCTGCACATAAAATAAAGATTCAATTAAAAAATAGTAAGAGGAAACTGAGTAAGTTACCTTTCCTCAGTAAACAGGATCTTTGCCAGAGGTTCAGACAGAATGGACTGCATAAGAGCCAACACTTTAACTCCCCCTATCACCGATGGATTCAGCCTCTTTATCCAATAAGTAGAGAAAATAAGGTGAAGTTGATATGCCTAGAATGTGTGTCATGTGATGTCTTCAAACTCCATTGTTTACAGAGCATGATTTTCAAAATTGGGTCTTTCTGGAACACAAAAGTAGTGTCTAGGGCATGTGGCCACAAACTCAAGTGCAAGGTCACAGTGCTGGTCTGTGGGGATGTTCATGGCCACACAGAGGATACTATCTGAATAAGGATACCATGTCAGTGTTGGAATCTGAATTTCATCCAGTCAGTGGCTTGTGCTGAAACATAGAATAATCAACACGTTACAAAATAAATCAATGCTGAAATGTTATAGTATCTCTCTCCCAGTTTCTTCAGCTGTAAAGTGGCAATACTGTCCTCTTCATGAAGTTGCTGATAGCTCACACATGGAAAACAGTTCTTGGCACAAACTAAACCTTCAGTAAGTGCTGGCTATTGCCTTTATTACACTAAGTACATGAAGTACCAAGTTCATTGAGTTGCTTTGAGCCTTCAACCTTCAAAAGTCATTTTCTCTTGTGGAAAATTAAAAAAAAACCAAACTAGCAATAAAACTAGTTTTGCTCTCAACTCTGTCACAATTGCAGCTCAGTGTGATAAGTTAAATCCCTAGGATTTTGTATCAAATGGCTCCAGTGCTTGCTCTGTCCTTTCTGGTATCTTCTCCATTTGGATTTTTGGAGTCGTGAAGTCAGGCCAGCTTCCCCAGGAGCCTCTGAAATAACTCATGCAGTTGTACATCACCTTATACAAGTGAGCTGTTAGGGTGAGGCAGGCGGCATGAAGAGACCAGTTCCGGCATGCAATGGACACTCTTACCAATTCCTCTTTCTATGTTGCTTTGTGCTCCTGATTCCATTGAGTGTGGATTTCCCCTGTCAGGACCTCCCATTCTTCTCTTAACTCAAACTTACACGCACAAGTCTGAGATCTGGCTCATTCATTCTGTGTCATCATTCCCTTTCCAGGAGTCTCTATGTCTGGCAGGCAGTACTATTTCCTGTATTCTTTATTGTATGCCTGGATCTTATTGGAGAGTATAACATGCTGCAGATACTCAATGAACATGATGTCAAATGATGCAGGAATTCCTTCTTGCCTTGTTCCTTAGATGCTAAACAGTAAGCCGGTATCTGCCTCCAGCTCCTAATGTAAGGACAAGTATTAGTATTTTTACAGTAAATCTTGGCTAAGGTTCTTCTAGTGGCCTCTTAAAAAAGTTCTCTGTGGAGGCCAATAGCAAATGTTGCTGGTAATATCCTCACAGTACAAATAATAAGGCTTATAGATGTGTTATACTGAGGACCACTGGCAGGATGTGTTGGCATTGTGCTAGCATGATTTGATGATGGGTTTTCTGTAGGAGGAGCAATAGTGTTTGTTTAGATGATATGATTTGGTCTAGAAATACATCTTTTTATATGGAAGAGACAGTAGGTAGTTAGCACATCTTGTATATAATATTCCCTAAATATAGTTTCTATTCTTTAACTTTTAATTGTGATTATGAAAACACATTTACATCTAGTACAATGAAGGCAAAGTTAAGTGTAGCTATTTGGATTATCTCAGAGACTCTAAGAATCCTACACAGTTGGCATTTTTTAAAACCTTAATTTGAGATGAAGGAAAAGTAAGGCATTTTAGGGTCATAAAAGGAGAATGAATTCTTGAGAGCATAAAAAATTCTAATTCTTTTTCTCCATATTTTTATCTTAAATTTCTAAGTCTTTCCCATTTCCACCAATCAGCTTCTCTAAACAAATCCTTTAAGAAGCCACACGATCGGCCTTAAATTTTTTTTTTTACTAATTTATTCTTTACATTCCAATCCCAGTTCCCCCTCCCTCATCTCCTCCCTCTACCCCACCCCCACCTCCCATCTTCTCCACGGAGAGGGTAAGACCTCCCCTAGGAAGTCTACTAAGTCTATCCCATCATCTCTTTGAGGCAGGACCAAGGCATCTGGTCTGCCTTTTTTTCTCTCCATATTCTTAGCAATTATAAACTTGTTATTTAGTATGGTTATCGCAGGTGACCAACACTCATGCACACATACAGGTGGTGGAAACCTCTTTTCTCAAGATAACAGTGACCGCCATCATAATTGAGACTTGTCACTTCTTACCAAGCACCATTTTTTTTAAAAAAAGAATTGGGTCTCTATTATCATATTAAGTACACATAAAACTTTTCAGAGGTGCACTCAAGTCATTGGATCTTGGAACTCCATGATAAGAAATTGATGGGTCTGGAGATTGAAACCTGGAGTAAATGTGACTTCGATTAGAAAGCACATAAGTATAAAAGGAAGATAAAAGAGATGGATGACATTTCTAGGGAGACACAAAGGAGAAACCTGAATGATTTGCACACTCTTGGTCTCGAAGTTGAAGCTCCTTGTTGATTCAGTCCAATGACAAGAGGTTACCAATTACAGATACATTCACCTTATAATAGGTTTATGTACTGGATTCAGATGCACTTAATATGGCTAACCTATGGGATCATGGCTCAGCCTGATCACGTATTCCCCAAGGACATTTGCATTAGTCTATAGCTGAGTAAAATTATCTACCACAAAGTCTATTTTGTAATAAAGGCTCATACACACAGAGAGATGTGTCTTGCATACACAGGATGGGATGTAAAACACAATATCCAAATAATACCTGCAATACAGCATGCTGACAAGTGTTGGTTGTCTACCTTCACAGTCAGGTGGTTAACCTGGGCTCAATGCTACCACCTGGCATTTCTGCAAAGCCTCATCAGATATTGCTAGTCCAGGGAGAGATCAAACCTCAGAATTCAAAATATGGTTTTTATTGAATACTCTTCGCCATCTTAAAGTTGAAAATTTATAAGTTAACTCGAGCCATGGTACAGGGACTGCCAATACACAGACTTTCTTCAGCATATTTTTGAGATTAAAACAATTAAATCATATACATACATGTATCTGAGTATTGGCTTATGGTTACTGGTGTAGTGTCTTCAGAATCCAGAGCAGGGCATTGGAGCCCCTGGAGCTGAAGTTACATATGATCTTTTTTTAAGGGGGTGTGCCACCACTGCCTTTGTTTAGATTTTTTTTAAAGATTTTATTTATTATGTATACAGTCTTCTGCCTGCATGCCAGAAGAGGGCACCAGATCTCATTCAAGGTGGTTGTGAGTCACCATGTGGTTGCTGGGAATTGAACTCAGGACCCCTGGAAGAACAGTCAGTGCACTGAACTGCTGAGCCATCTCTTCAGCACACTACATGTGATTTTTAACAGCCTGACATGGGTGCTGGAAATGGAACTTATCTTCCACAAGGATAATATGCGCTCTTAACTACTGAGCCACCTTTCTAGTCCTGTCTTCACAATTTTAGAAATTGATAAAAGTAATAGTGATTCAATCATCACAGTTATTAGCTCAGATTACTCTTTGGACCAGTTCTTGGTTGTAGAATGATACATTTTATATGAATGTTTTTTGATATGAAATATATTTTTGACATCAGTGGATTTGCCAGCATTTATACCCAACCATTTTCTGAGATGCTGCAAAGCTATTACAGAAAAAGGAGAGCATATATATGGGTATGTTTGTAGTTAGGTAGGGAATGACAGCAGTGTGTCACCATACTATATCTAGTCATTATTATGGGCACAGATTCCTGTTCTATGGTTCTCTTCGAGAGAGGTCCAAAGATAAATAAAGCATCCAGAGTCCTTAAAAAAGATACAGTTCTTGCCTTCTCTTCAACCCCTTAAGATTAAAAAAAGTATAAATCTCTAAGGAGGAGAAAGAGATTGGCTGGACATACATAGGTGAAAAAGAGCAAATTGTGCAGAGGCTAAAGACTGGTAGTCTATGTAAAACTTGTTAGGACCAACATGGCCAACTGGGATGACCCCTAAGTGTCCTTTTCTTCATTATTAGGATATCAACAGCTATGTGCTTGCCTAACAAGTACAAGGCCCTTGATTCAACCCTATGTACCACAAAGAAGTGAATAAAATAAAGTATCAGTAACATCTGATGTGTAGACTTGGTATTAAATAGACAAATCATCACATGTGCTATAGGTACTGTGTGATGCCTAGCAGTAAAATCTTTGTGAATGTGTCCACTGCATTTGACACCTTGACAAATGTGGGAAATCACATATAAGGCTAGAAAGTGGGAGAAAACCCTGCTTCGGGAAAAATCCTCTCCCATTCCTGGAATTCCTTGCTTTT